GCCTACCTAATGTCCTGCGCATTGCCTTAATCATCAAGAGGCAGAGAAGTATTGCAGGCCAGGGCTTCTGCAGCATTGCAGCAACATGAAGGAATCCAGTCCCTAACTGTTCTGTCACTATTACATCCTCTACATGAGTGGTTCTCAACATTCCTAATGCTGCGACCTTTTAATACAGTTCTTCATGACGTGGTGACCCCGCCATAAAATTATTTTTGTTGCTACTTCATAACTGTAATTTTGCTGCTATTATGAATTGTAAAGTGAGTATCTTTGGAGAGAGAGCTGCAGAGGGGTTTCGACCACTCACATTTCTGTCTTCCAGTTCCAGTTGAATGGAGATCCCTTCAACAGCTCTGTTCATCGGCCTGTACTTTTCTACACAACTGCAGTATCATTTTCAGCTGAAAAGCATTGCTGGATATATTTGGTAAAAGAGTTTCCATGTTGAATCCAGTCACAGGCCAGAAACCATTGGCAGTCATGTAAGTGGAACGGCAGTGTGTCTTGGCACCAGCCAGGATGGAGCTGCTTCAGCTTTGTATTACAGGGATTCACTATCAAGGATGACCAAGCCCAGAAGGGCTAAGGACAGTATGAACAGGGGTATGTTCACGCTGTGCTGATGCTGTTTTCCTAGGAGTGAATGCAATCAGCTGGAACATTTGGAAATGTGGCAGCGTGGGTGTTAATGGAACAGTGCAGAGGGAGTGTGAGAGGCTTAGGGACCAGAATGGAAGTATGTTTCGGTTGGGTTTTCTGACTGCATAATACACTAAGATGCCCACACATATTTGATATTGTCTGTAAACACTCTTTGCTCACCATTCCCAATACCATCTTTTCCCTCCAATATTTAAAAATCATCATCAAACATAGCAAAGTTTAAAGAATTCTATAGACCTGGCTTTTTTCTTTTATTGTACTATTTCTTATATTTAATTACACAGTAGTTCTTTTTATTTTGTTTTTGTTTTTCAAGACAGGGTTTAGGGTTCCTCTGTGGCTTTGGAGGCTGTCCTGGAACTAGCTCTTGTAGACCATGCTGGTCTCAAACTCACAGAGATCCGCCTACCTCTGCCTCCCGAGTGCTGAGATTATAGGCATGAGCCACTGCTGCCCCACCACACAGTAGTTCTTCAATGGTAGCCTTTGTCTATTACTCATTAAAACTGCTCTTTGGTACACCTGATGGCTCTGGACTCCTGACGGTCCCACTCCAGCCCCCCGAGTATCTGGGACTATATGTGTGCATCACCAAACTCAGCCCCTGTCATTTTTAATGCACTACTAGGCATATTTTTTAGGCCAGGCCCATCACAGTTCTAGTTTGCAGTTTGGGTTGCAGCTCCAAGAAGTTCTGACTGCAGTAGCCTCTTCTTTTCTCTGTGGTGCTGCCCTCTCTGCTTTTCAGCTTCAAAAGCCAGATCCTGTATTATGGATCTCCTCTTCCACTCCAGTAATTACAAGTGAGTCTTCTAATGAACTTACTCTATTCTAGTCTCAGTCACCAATGGAAGGAAGTTGGAATGGTGTTTGAAAAACTCAAATTTAAAAGCACGCTTTCATTTCAAATGTAAGGTCAATGAGGGTCGTGTGCATTTACGTGTATGCAAGTACATGTGCAAGTGTGCACAACTGCATGAGAGCGTGTGTGTGTGTGTGTGTGTGTGTGTGTGTGTGTGTGTGCGCGCGCGCGCGCGCGCATGTGCATGCATGTGCATGTATAGTCCAGAGGACAATCTTGGGTGTTCTTCAGATGCCATCCGCTTTTTTTTTGTGGGGATAAAGCCTCTCATTGGCTCAGAACTTGTCAAGCAGGTGAGGCTGCTGATCAGTTAGCCCCAGGGTTCCACTTCCCAGTGCTAGGATTACAAACAGGCACTGCTGCATCCATCTGATTAAGATGTGGGCTCCAGGGATTGGACTCAACTCCTACTGTATCGACTGAGCTATCTCCACAGGCCCAGTGAGTTCATTTTAAGTTCAGTCACCAGCTATTAGGTCTCTAAGGTTTTGTTTTTATTTTTGGTTTTTTTTTTTTTTTTTTTTTTAAAAAAAAAAAGAAACCAAGGAAAAGAGGAAGATGGAAAGAAAGACCCTCCAGCCTCAGATAGCCAGTATTAATCAAACTACACATTGCTCTCTTCTTGAGGCTCACATGGAGGTTGCTGTAACCAGCACACACTTACGTAGAAGCAAGGTTGAAATAGGTCTCCGGAAACCTCCTGGCTGTGGAACAGGAGACTTGTTTCCGAGCAGCACGTCTCTGCTTCTCTTCTCACATTTCTTCAGCAGAAGGTGTTTCTGTGTGCTGGACAGGCCACCAGTCACTTGGTGAAAGGCTGCCGGGCATTGTTCTGCCCCTCCTGCATCACAATGTGCTGACATGGCTCTGAAGTAAGAAGGGCGCTGGGGAGCAGCCAAAAGATCAACCAGCCAGCCCTGAGATGATGACCAAGAAGCCATCCCGATGATAGTGGGACTGGAAAAGATACAATAAAAATCAAAAAGACATCATTTATCATTCAGCTGCCCTATATTCGGGTTTTCAGAAACCTCAAAGGCATTTTGAGTCTCAATGAAGAGAAAGCTTCAAGTTGTGGTTCATACCTGTAATTCCAGTGCTTATGAGGCAGAGGCAGGAGGATTGCTAGGAGTCTGAAGCAAGCCTAGGCTACACAGTAAGTTTGAAGCCTGCCTGTACTATAGTGAGATCCCATCAAAAACAAAAACAAAAAACAAACAAAAAAACCCCAAATAAAACAAAAGCAATATAAAACAAACCAAGCCAGGCGTTGGTGGCGCATGCCTTTAATCCCAGCACTCGGGAGGCAGAGGCAGAGGCAGGTGGATCTCTGTGAGTTCGAGGCCAGCCTGGTCTCCAGAGCGAGTGCCAGGATAGGCTCCAAAGCTACACAGAAAAACCCTGTCTTGAAAAACCAAAAACCAAAACAAACCAAAACAAAACCATGAAACAAACAAACAAAAGCAAGCGACTCCTATCCCCACCAAAGCAAAACCAAGAAACAAAAACTCCACAGCTTCACAAAAGGTAACATTTCTCCACGGCAACAGTGCTTAGAAGCAGCTGAGGATCAGGTGTACAGCCTGGTTATTTTACCTTTTTTCTCCATCTGCTGTATTCTGGGCACACCATCAGTGGGCACTCAGTAGTTGTTACTACTAAGTAGTAGAGTTACTAACAGAAATAAACACCATCTCCCTTTGTCTAGAGAACATGGTGAAGTTGTTTGTCTTTGCCCTCTGTTTGGGAGATTCTCTACATCCTGTCACACTTTAATGTTTGGTCATGTGCTGGGTATATACACCTTCTTGGTACCTTCTTTGTTGCTCATGAAGATGCCAGCTGAATATACATGCTAAGAGAGGAGCCGCTACCTGGGCAAATTTACTTCACTCGGTCCCTATGTCCCATGTTTAAGATCCAAGTGCTTAATTTTGGCAGGGTCCAAACATTTATTTGGCAGAATAAACATGAAGTGTCTGAGTGATACTAAGATGAGCCAGTAACTGGCTCTGGAGACCAGGGGTGGATGTGCTGGCATCAGGAAGCCTCTCCAAAAGCAGAGATGAGGGCCATCCTTTGTTAGGATGTGTAAGGGCACAGGCTCTGGGAGCAGGGGATCATCTAACTAGTAGTTTTCACAGAAAAGCAGTCTCTATGGAGGCCCAAACAGGTGCCCTGTTATTTTTGCCTTGAATGCTCTGTTGCATTTTTTTTTAATGCTGTGTCATTTTCAGATGGATAATTGTCTTTTCAATAGGATCTTGCTATGGAGTCCAGGTGGGCCTCATACTTGCAGCAATTTGTTGCCTCAGCCTCCAGAGTGCTGGGATTACAGGGAGCTGCTGCCATGTCTGGCTCCAATGGAAACACTTTCCCTCCATTCATAGCTCTAGTATGCCACCCATTCCTCACACAGCCTACTCATTTCATGATCACCACTTACCAATGATCCTGTTCTGGATCATTTTTTGCATATATCTGATTTCCTTGTTGTTGATGACATTAATTTTGAAGGAGCTGGATGAAGTCCTTTGTTATTACTTTCATATTTTTTGAGGTTAAAATATATCAAGAGAAAAATATAATTTAATGGTATGATTTGAATATTTACCTATAGCTATAATGTTTTAACATGCACAAAATGTATTTATGACTCTGTATAAGTCTGGATTTGAAGCACCTGGTCAAAGAAAGATGTATGACCTCCTAGTTCTCTGCCTTTGCCCTTCCTCTGCCTGGAGTCCTCTCAACTGTGTTCTCAGCTTGGCACAGGAAAATTTCTTCCTATGTTCTGACCCTGGCTCCTGGAGAAGCTGTGTATCACTAGTTCCATTGGTCAATTTAGGGTTGAGCACCTGCTCCTGACAGGGCCAACTCATTCTAGGCTACAAGATGAACAGATTGACTCAATGTGATGCAGCCATAGAATGGTGCCTGGAGGACTCGGGGAGCATGGGTGAGAGGCACTTTGTTCAGTGTGATGCTTTCGGGAAAGGGCAATGCCTGAGCTAGAACTTGCTTATTTCCCTTTGCTTTTCCCATTTTCTCTTTTTTGTGGTGCAGGAGGGCAAACCCAGGGCCTTGTGCATGGCAGACAAGGGCTCTGCCACTGAGACACATCTCTAATCCCCACAAGAAACATTGAAAGAGTAATCAGTCTGGACAAAGGCAGGAGGCATCAAATGACTTGGGATTTGAGGGAGCAACTGCTTGCAGAATAGCTTGGTGTGTCAGAGAAAAACCCTGAAGCTGGGGAAGTGTTGCAGAGAGTTTTGAATGCTCTAAACGGATCCTGGGGTCATCAGCTATAGAGGTCTTCCTGAAAGGTAGTCTATGTAGGGACATGTAGTGGGGTTTGGTCACTCCAATAGCAATGTAAAAGGAAGGTCTGAGGAGAGCAGTTCTGCAAGCTGAGACCTAGGTACTGGTGGAGGGAAAGAAAAGGAGGGGTTAATTTGGGAACTGTGAGGAGCATCAGAATTTGGTGACTCACTGAAGGTGTGGGGGCTGAGAAAGAAGCAAGATGACTCAAGTTTCAGCTCTGCAATACAGGGTTCGCGTTGGTGCCTTTAACCAGGGAACAAAATGTGAGTAGAGGAACAGGCATGGGTCAGAACGCACGGTTTGTCTGCAATAACCTTTGCTCAGTTTGAGGCCTGCATTCAGCTGGTGTTTCCTTTTAACTGGCAGGGTCTTCAGGTGCCACAGGCAGGAGATGGATTGAGTACGAGCCCCAAATCCTCACACTGTGGTGGCAGTCAGTGCCATGTGGTGCCGATCTGTATTTCAAAATACTCCCCCATCCCTCTTGCATTGAGGGCTTCCTTCCTGAAGCTGTATTCATTTTGTCCTTTCCTGTCTGAGCTCTCCTCCCCCACCTTCTCACGTGGGGCTTAATGTTATTTTCCAGAAATCTCAAATGTCACCTGTCTGGAGAATTCTTTGTCTGTCACTAGGTGAACAAGGCCCTCTCAGCTCCAAATCTGTCTTGGCTACTCCCTGTGGTGTGCTGGAGCTCTCTGCAAACTCCACTGCTTTCTCCAGCTGGTTTTGTTAGACTCCACAATAGGTGACATTAGACTAGAAGGAACTTGGGAATCAGTAGGAGGGAGAAGGGACTCGTGTTCCTTCCTGTTGCCTTCTGTCAGTGTCACCATGACAACGGCAATGGCCTGTACTATGTGATATATTATTTTATTCTGACTTCTTGCACTGTCCAAACCTGCAGCTGTGGTAAATTCTCTCCCTGGTGTACTGAGCCCTGTAGAGTCTAAGGTCTGAGTTTCTAGATCTAATCAGCTTAAGCCCTTAGAAGCTACCCCCAGCTCTAGTTTTTGTAGTTATTTCCTCTTGCCATTAGCTCTGATATCTGTTTCTTTTGTGCTTTCCCAGGTAACCAACATACAGTTTTTTGCTCTCCTACTGTCTCCCTGCGGGATTACCAACTGTGGCTTCTGCCTTTTGTAAAATGTCTGCATCTTGACTGTCCTACAGAACCTGATGTAGGACTACATTCACTTTTCTAACCAACTACTGCATTGTCTATTCTTTTGTCTGTCTCATACTTTGCCTTTGTTACAGGTTATCAGGAAGGTCTCTTTAATTCTCATATCCGTGGTGCCTACCACGAGCTTGACATCTTATATGAATTTAGCTGATGTTTCTTAAATGAACTGAGTTATTATAAAAGATTACATACATGAGCCAGGTATGGTGGCACACACTTGTAATCCTAGTGCTCAGAGGCAGGAAGAAGCAGGAGCAATACCTCAAGCCTGAGGCTAGCCTGGTCTAATAGTAAGTTCCCAGCCAGGCAGGGCTACACAGGAAGACTGTGTTTTAAAAACAAATGGACAAAACAAAGGAAAACAAAGAAAAAGGCCAGATTTGAGCAATTCTTTTTTAAATCTTTCAGCTTTAGGCTAATTTATCAGTGAACTCTATAGCAATGTAATTTCTCAAGAGACTTACCAAATGAAAAAAAGAAATAAAAAGGCCAGGAAAGGACTTGACTGCTCCTAGGTATGGAGGAGAGAAAGATAAGAGGGAGAACATAGCTAGGGGCAGGGGCATCTGGGAGAGTCCAGAGTGGACATGACCAGGCTTGGCTGTGCCATGTGGGAGAGAATGGGAGGTTCCGGGAGACGGGAAAGAGGGAACCAGGTGCTGCAGCCAGGAGGCCCAATGGTACAAAGAAGCACCAAATGTCTGAATTACATAGGGAAGACTAGGCAGGTCCCCTAGACTGGACAGTTTAGGGTAAAGGGCAGGGTATGCCAGCCTCCTGGGCCCTGTAACAGGCAGGGACTGAGGGATTGCCTGTAGAACATGGAGGCCAGGTCTACTTTGGTATGTTAAATAGGCACCTCAGTCATTTGTCCCAGGTTTGAAACCTAACACTTAATTCTAAGCAGGTTAGAATACAGTATTTTGTTTAGTTCTAGAATGATCATCAGTGGAATAACAGGGCAGTTTGCTTTGATTCTGTATGGACATGGACCACTATGTTCTATAACTGACGGTGAGAACGCTTACCTTGGTAATGTTTCTTGAAGATCACGGGCTGCAAAGTTTGTTTGTTAGCCAAGAATTTAAAGAATGGAAGTCATCCAAAGAATCCACTTGCAACATTACTTAACAACATTTACTTGGAAAACAATCTGTTTATGTTCTATTTTCCATTGTGTGCCATGGTTTACAAAACCAAAGCATAGAGCCCCCAAGTCTGGCTAACTTCTGTACAGCTATAAGAAACTGAAAGTATTATCTAGCCTTTTATTTAAGTTTAGATTACTAGGAAAAAGAAAAGTTAAATATGGTGTATATGCTTAATTCTTAGATAGTTTTGGTAAAATAAATGTGAATAGATTAAATGACAGTGATCAATAGATTAAACAGAGTAAAACAGAACTGTTTCATTGCTCCATAACTTTCAAACTTCCCTGTAGCCAGTCCAAATGTCATATCTTCCCCATTGTCTAATTGAAAAAAAAAAAAAGCTTTTCTTTTCCAGTTTGTTTTGGCTACAAGGGTCCTTCAACTCAGCCCTTCTTTCATTTTCTTCCTCCATTTTGAAACCTGTTAGGTTTTTACATGTTCACAGCTGATGTTTTTCTTTACTTAAAACCCACTTTCAGTGTCATCAGTTTGAAGTATCATGTCTTCTCACACATAGGTTCCAAAGCATTTATATTCAATTTGTTTTTTATTGACTATTGTTTTCAACGTCACTTTGAAATTCTGTTCTTACAGCTCATAAATGACTATTTAGTTAATAAGTATTCTATTTTTTTCAGTTTCATTCATATTCTTGGTACTTCATTTTTGTTATTTCTTTTGCACCTGACAGTCAGTTCTCTTCCCTTGAGATTCTGTCTTGGTTCAAGAGACGCTGCTTCCCTCCTGATATCTTCTACAAATATTTTTCACTCCAGTCTTCCTCCAATTCCCTGTGGCCCTGTCTGCTGACTTATTGTCAATTCATCCTCGTGGGTGGTTTATATGAATGAGTTCCGGAGTTGTATCCAGCCTGTATGTTTTTGAACTCCTAACCAGAACTTCTAAATGCTCCTCCACAAAATGTACTTTTCTGATTTTCTCATTAGTTGTTTAACATTTTTCGACTGAAGACTTGGTTTCATTTCTCCTTTCTCTGGCTTCCTCTTCAGCCCCTCTGGCCAGCAGTGCCTCATCTCATCCAAACTGGGCTTTTCTATCTCCCTCTAGTTGAACCAGATCTTGGACCTTCCACCTAAAAGTTCAGTTCATATCATATGTCCTTGATCAAGATTCTCTAACAGCTTTGCCCCTAGAATAAATCCAGATGCTTTCACTTGGTATTCAAGAACTGTAGTCTGAGTCTTAGATGTTACACCCCCATTTGCCCCTATCTCATACCAACCCGTTTCCATATTTCAGTGGACTTGAGTCATGGTTGCAGTTTTGAACCTTGTTCTTTTAGGTGCTAGCTGTGTGACTATGGACACATATCTGCCCTGGTCTCTCTATCTGGAATAAGAATCACAGGGGTGTTGTGAAAGACAACAGGAAGGCTTTCAACAATACCCGGCATACAGTAAGTGCTACTTGATGTTTTACTGCACATATTTAGTAAGGCCTACACATGGGGGCCTCCATATGCCATAAACTCTAAGGATTGGGGACTTGGAACGAGCTCTGGAGCTCTTTAACTAAGACTAAGTATGGTGTTTGTCAGTTTGCACACTCTATCATGCATTATGAAACACACAATATAGTTCCTTGCATAGCTTTTGTTTTCTCCCTGATGGGAGTACAGGTGCAGTTGTGTCATTTGATTTGTTTCTGTGAGTAGTAGTATGGTATATTTTGTAGCTACACACATAGTAGTGCTTATTTCTGAGATGAACTATGTGTATTCATTGAACCTTTTAACTCTTTTCTTCAGCTGTACACATAGAAAAAAAAAACAGAATATTTTACTTTAATGCCCAATATAAAATGTCATTAAAAGTATACATTGAAAAGTTTCTGCACTCCGATAAGCCTCTTTGCCAATGCAGCAATCCAAATCAGACCAAATCAAAACAAATTAGAAAAAGCTCCCGATGGCTTTCCAGTCCCCCAGAGAGGAGACAGGAAAGAGAGACCAGAAAAATACCCATCTATTTTCTGGGCTTTCTGAGATGCAGCAGGGTTTGGATGGAAATAGGGGAGAGGAGTTGGGGTGAAGCTTCCACCATAATACACATTTTGCCATTGTGCTGTGCTACTTTGTTTCTTAGTCTATTTTACTAAGCATACTCTACAGAACATAGTCTTCCTGTTAATATCAATTGAAAAAATACCTTGAAGATTTTGTTAAAAGAAACATCCTAGCCAGGTAGTGGTGGTACACACATTGAATTCCAGTACTCAGGAGGCAGAAGCAGGCATATCTCTGAGTTTGAGGCTAGCCTGATCTACAGAGAGAGGTCTAGGCCTGCCAGGGCTACACAGAGAAACCCTGTCTGGAAAAACCAAACCAAACCAAACCAAACCAAACCAAACCAAACCAAACCAAACCAAACCAAACCAAACCAAAGAAAAAGTGAAGGGGAGCCATCCTAGAGCGTGTTTCCAAGGGGCACCACACCTCCACATTTCTGTTTTCTTTCAAACATGATTTAAAAATTTCTAACATCAGCTGTGGTGTCGCACACACTCTCAATCCCGTCACTTGGTTGGCAGAGGCAGGTGAATCTTGTTCCAGGACAACCAGGGCTATAGAGTGAGACCCAGCCACAAGAAACAAAACAAACACAAAAATTCCAGGCACTCATCTGAAGGTTTGATTTATAACTTATTTTTTCCCTTCTTTTCAAAGAGCTGTACATATCCAAAGTTGGTACCCAAAAGAAGAATATTCTACTAAGTAATAAAGTATCTTTCCTTTAGCTAAGCTTACTGTTTATCCAGCCATCACCAGTAAAAACAGCAGTTGGGAAGTTCTCTTACTTACTAACAGACCCCAATGCTATTTTTTTTTTTTAAACAGTACAGTAAGATGCAATGTTTTACCAACCCACAATGTAAGCCTCTGTACTGTGAGCTATCTTAAGTATTCTTTTACCGAGGCAGAGTTCTGTCAGGGTGGAGTATGGAGTAACTATCTTCTCTTTCTAAATAACAAGGCCAGCACAATACATTTTAAATAATGACCAAGGATTTTTTTTTTATTCATTAAGTTTCAGTATCATTACAGAAAATGTTATGGTACAGAGTTGTTTAACATTATTTTGTTTTTGCTTTTGATTTCCACATGAATGCTGGTAACACTAATATCTGTACAAGATCAGTCTTTGATTTTATTTTATTTTTGTTCTGTACAATTTTAAATGTGTTGGTTAAAAAGGCTGTCAGCACTTAAGGAAGCATTTTCCCCCAGTTTGTTTGTTCAAATAAAAGGTATCCAGTTACTGCCTGCGAGTACTGTGCCACGAGGCTGCTAGGGTGAGAACTTCCCTGGGTGCTCAGCAGGGATGGTTCTTGCGGCAGGGCAGGGCCTCCGCGCAGTCACTCCTCTTTTGGCACTGTGCACATAAACACGAGATACATGATAAAGAACAAGCAAAAGCTCTCTGTAAAGCAGTTATGAAGCATACTAAGAAGGGAAATCCAAGTGTTGCCTACACTAGTATAAATAAGCAGACAGCCTTGATTAAGAGCATAAGTAGTTGTATTTAAAGATGAGAAAAACACAAGTTCTGCAGGCACCTACCGCTGTCTACTAAAAGCTATCGCTATCAGACCTAGCATTGAACACACAAAGCAATTTGCAAGAAAGGAAAATTTTGCTTTGATATAATCAGAATAGAGTTGTCTGTTAAGATTTATTCTTAGGTGTTTTTTTTTTCTTTAAAAGGTATTTAAATTCATTTGAAATATAGTTCAAGATGTTGACTATACAGATCAACTTTTATCCAGATCAGAAAAACTAGCTGTGCCGTTGCATATTACAGGATACAGTCAATGATATGTGGACATGCATCAAAGCTTTCTCCTGTTGGTGACCATCATAGCCGTCCAATGACCATGACATCCACCACCTCGCCCTTGTGGAGTTCCACGTACTGTTCTGTCTTTGGAGGTAGCATCAATAATCCATTGGCGCTGCGCATGCTCATCAGACGGCTGCTCATCTGATTACCTGGAATGAAATACTCTCATTACTGCAGCACAGGCATCAGTGCTACACGTGGAGAGGCCAGCAAATGGAGCGCAGGGCTCCAAGGAAGAGATGACCAGTCTTCCCAGCACCTTTTCCAGGTGAAATGCACGTCCTAGATCCTCCACCTTCTCATCAAAACTTTAAAAACAAATGTTAGATATTTTTTAAAGAATAAAATAGTGCTTTATAGCCATTCAAAATGCCACAAAAATTCTCACTTCAGGGTGAATTTATATTTGTATAAAAATAAAGCCTTTTAGAAACTTAAGGATAACAATAATAGCAGCTACCATTAGGTGCTTTATGGTCATTTTATGAACTCTTACAAGATGCAAAAGCTCTGAGGTGCGCTGCCTAGGGTCTTGCTAATTAGGCAGGTGGCCAGCTTGTATGCAGAACTCTGTGATGACAAAGGCTCATGAACTGAATCACTGTTCACAGTGGATGTTTGCAGTTGATACAGAGTCTTTTTTTTTTTTTTTAAAAAAGGTAACAGTTTTTGTGGAACTGCATCAAAATTTGGGCAAAATATGACAAGAAAAGTTGGGGACAAAGGTTTAAAGTTGAAAGCTCTCTAACTTCAGAGTTAGACCTCTGAATTATCAACATGGCTTTGTCCTTGAAGTTTACCAGTACCTAGGATGTAGTAGGTTCCATAAAGATCAGACTGTAAATTTGGTTTTCTCCTCACATTTCAGGATAACACAGCTATTGTGCACGTCTTTCCTAACCACCAGTCATGTTCAGAGGGCTGCTTGAACTAATCAAAATATGTAGTTCTATTTGTATATTTCAAATGCTTATCTAGAAAATATGGCTCATTGAGATAAAGAAACATTAAGAATAACTTATTTCATCTAACCCCTCAAAAAGAGAAGTGCACAACTATTCATTCCATTATGGCCAAGGAAAAGACATGATTGACATAGTTGTTACTGTGGTTTGTTTTCGAAGTCACAGGCCCCTGTGTGGGTGTACAGATATGAATGACTGACCTGTACTCTGGGCCCAGGGCAGTGGTTCTTGGTGATGCCAAGTCAGTATACACCGGTGGTATTCTGGGCGAGGGTCCAGTTTTACATCACACGACAACTACAGCATAAAGAGGCAAAGAAATTTAACTTGGTTATCTAATCAGTTCTCAGGACTACAGAGCATATAGTGAGCCTGGATAGATAATATCCTTGTCATTCTACTATTTCTCTCATTGCCATCTTGTTTTTTAATACAGAAAGTCCAGAGGCTGACTGTTATTGTAAAGAAGTAAGAATGCTAGGAAGTCAGTGTTCATATGGGGGAAAGGACAGATGGAAAAGGTAAAGTCTATTATTATGGGTTGTAATGATCCTAGACATATGAAATGAGAAATTGAAGCAATTATTTTACTATTGAAAGGAAAAGAGGTAGATTTAATAAACAAATTCAATAACTAACCATCCACCAGTATTCACTGTCGATTTAATATGTGCTAGGCATTATTCAACTACCCATTTATAGAACTATTTTCAGTGTATAAGGAATAGGCTTTTTTATGTTGCTGATATTTTCTTTGCTGGTAGCATAGCTTCCTATTGCTCCTAAATTGTTTTGTGCTTTCCTCTTAGTTTTTCTCTCTGTGTGTGGTCTCCAGTGCTAAAATGCAGGAGCCACTTATATGGCTGCTTTGCAGCCAATTTTAAAAAAAGAGATGGTAGATGTTAAAGTGAAATAAATGTAAGGATTCCTACAAGCTTTGCAGTGTTGGATAAGCATGTGTCTCTTGGAACAATATGGATTTTTCCTGCTTCCTCAGGTTACAAGTGTGAATACAGTAAATTCTCCATTACTGGGTTGGCTGTGTAAATCTGTATGGACTTTGACTTTTTGATCTGATCATAATTTGTTTTCATTCACGGTGGCCTTCCTGCCCCTTCTTCCTTCCTCTCCCTCCATCTCTCTGTTTCTTACTTTGCCTACAATTCTGTGATTACTGAAAGGAAGCTCCATTTGGGGGAGGGGAGGACACTATGCCTGGCCAGGTGATTTTAAGTGATATTTTAGGGAAATAAGATGCTTTTATCTTCTTTCATTCACAAATCTCCAGTACTAACAGTATCAGTGTTAGGACTGCTGATGGACTAGATTTTCAAAAAAATTTTTATTTTACATATATGTGTCTGTGTGCACATGCAAGTGCCACAGCATTCATGTTGGGGTCAGAGGTCAACTTTCAGGAAGCCAGGTTTATCCCACCAAATGGGTCCTAGGGGTTGAACTCAGGTTGTGAGGCGTGGCAGCATGAGCCTTTAACCTGCTGAGCTATCTTGTCAGTTGTTTTAGGTGTTCTTTGTTTGTGTTGTTTTTTTGAGACAGGGTTTCTCTGTGTAGCCCTGGCTGTCCTGGAACTCACTCTGTAGACCAGGCAGCCTTAAACTCAGAGATCTGCCTGCCTTTGCCTCCTGAGTGCTGGAATTAATGGTGTGTGCTGGCATTTTAGATGTTTTTACACTATGCATCCTGAATAATATTTTATCACTATTTCTTCTTTTGTGTTTTTTCATTTTTAAAAATAATTTATTTTTATTTCATGCACATTCGTGTTTTGTCTGTGTGAAAGTGTCAGATCTTCTGAAACTAGAGGTACAGGTAGTTAGAGCTGTCATGTGAATGCTGGGAATTGAATCTGTGTCCTCTGGAAGAACAACCACTTGCTCTTAACCACAGAGCCATTTCTCCAACCCCTCTTCTGTGTTTTATGTTCCTTTGGTCAACTAATCATAGAACTGTGTCATAGGTAAATTACTTTAAAACTTTTGAAAAGTAATAGCTTGGTTCTATAGGTTATGATGTCAAGAAAGTCAATCGTTAGTAACACAGAAAAATGTATAACTGGTTGAGCAGTAAGTTAAATCTGTAGTAGAGAAAGGGACTCTTACTGTAGTGTTTAGCCCTTGTCTGACTAATGCTGTTCTAAACAGCACATTCGCCTTCTCCTCCTCAAGTGCCACAGTCTTTTAGTACTTTGATTGCCCCTCTTGAATTTTTTGAAGAGCCAGCACATACAAGCAAGCAGGTTAACTTCTGTCCTCAATGGACTTCACTGGGGAAACAATCTCACCTCTTACTCCATACAGGTCTAGTGTGTGGTACAGGCTGTTTTCTGTTTGCTGGTTTGTTCTTAGGACCCACTAGATATTTGAAGACTTGCTCTCTGGATTCTTTTAAATACTTTTAAAGTTTAAAACATTTTATTTATTTTTATGTGTATGAGTGCTTTGCCTGTGTATGTCTGTATGCCATGTATATACAATGCCTGAGGAGAAGGCCAGAAGAGGGCATCAGATCCCCTAGGACTTAAGTGACAGAAAGTTGTGAGCTGCATGTGGGTGCTGGAAATTGAATCTTGGTCCTCTGGTAGAGCAGCTAGTACTTCTGAGCCATCCTCTTTATATTTGAGGGACATAAGAGTGAATGTTCCCTTCTACTTTCCATCACAAAGGAGAGAATATTAATACATTTATGAGAAAACAAATCTAAAATTATAGGCATCTATTTTGGGCAGTTAGTAATTGTTATCAGGCTTCCATTTTGGTTTCTGGTGATTAGAAACCAAATAGGAAACATTACCCTGGCTTTGATGATAGTTGGCCGAGGATCCAAGATACCCTGCATCTTTCTCAGTGCAGGTACAACAAAGAGGTTGCAGGTGACCACAGCTGATACAGGATTCCCTGAAAGTCAACCAAATAGTTATTTATATTACACCGTGTAAAGATGTGTTAGACAATTACATCTGTCTATACAGTCAGGTATGACAGGACGTGATAGAAGTGAATGATCATTTATCTACTTCTGAATCACACTGAACCTAGAAGAATGACAGAACAGAGGGATGGTTAACCACATCTACAGAGGGTAAGAACTGAACCTTCTGGTCTTCATGAAAACACAAAGTGGTCTGATATTCAGCTTTTAGAAACCATTTATACTTTCCTGAGAGCCTTGCACTGAAACCTTGATGTGCATGTGTGTGCGTCTGTGTGGGCAAAGAGGCAAACACACATACTTTTACACTGAGCACCAACTCAATTTTAATAAGTTAAAATATAGACATGGAACTTTATCCATAGCCATCTTTATTCAGACACACCAAATGACTCAAGCTGTAAAAACTTTAAGATGAATAAGATGGTGTGAACTGTAACTTTAACTCCCACAAGAAAGCTCTGTGCTCAGTGTACCTGAGGAACAGGGCCTTGTTGACTAAAGCTGAGTGAGGACACAGGATTAGGTCCTAATGGAATAGAACCACTGTCCTTGTAGAAAGCAGAAGAGGCAGCAGAAGTATGCATGTCAGAGGCAAGGCCATGGGACTCACAGGCAGATGACTGCAGAGCAGAGAAGGCAGCAGAGAGCAGCATTGTTGCCACCTTGAGTTTTGGATTTCTGGGCCTTACAACTGTGAGGAAACTGTGTGCATCAACCTTTGGTGCATATCTGTTTATAATCATTATATTTTATTCATGGATTGTTCTCTTTATTCACATGTACTAATTTCCTTTATCTTTTGTCTTTTTAAAATTTAAATTTATGTTATTCTATGTGCTTTTAAGTACCAGAGGAGGTCATCACAGGGCACTGGATCACCTGACAAGGGTGCTAGCTACTGCATCCAGGTTCTTTGGGAGAGCAGCAAGAGATCTTAACTGCTGAGCCACCTCTCTAGACTAGGACCTTGTTTTTTGTTTTGTTTTTTCTAGACAGGGTTTGTCTGGGTAGCCCTGCCTTTCCTGGAACTCTCACTGTAGACCAGGCTAGCCTTGAACTCATAGAGATCCACTTGTCTTTGTCTCCTGAGTACTGGGATTAAAGGCGTGAACCACCACCACCTGGCTCAAAGGTTTAATTTTTAATTTAATTTGTTTTTAGTGTGTGTGTGTGTGTGTGTGTGTGTGTGTGTGTGTGTGTGTCCCATAGCACACAAGTGAAGTTTACAGGACTACTTGTGGGAGTTGGTTCTCTCTCTCCATTATGTGTATCCAGGGAATTCAATTCAGGTACCTTAATGGAGTGAGCCATTTTGTCAGTCCCAATTTCCATGTTTTTATAGTGAATGTGTAACTTTAAAAAGTTAAAAATTGTTATATGTGAAATTAATACATTGGTTATAAGATTGGTGAAAATCTTTAAGTACATGATCTTTAAGAAAGCATAAATACACTCTAGAAATTGAAAATCCTTGGAAGAGGAAGACCTTTGCTATAGGGAAGGTCTGGACATGTGAGTTTGAAAGGATTTTTACTTTTCTGAAGAATTGCTGTTAACAAAATGGGGATTTCAGCAGAACTATTTACAGGATTCTATTTTCTAAGACTAGGTCTTTATAGCCAAGGCTGACCTTGAACCTGTGGTGATCCTCCTGCCTCAGCCCCACCAGAGTTAAAATTGCAGGTATACTTAAAGGAAGTTGTTAAAAAAATAACAAGCAGGTACATAAAATTCTAAACTGCTTTAAAATTTATCAAAATTCACAAAGACTTAAGATGCATGGCTGTAAGTAATAAAAACTGAATTAATGAATTCTCAGAAACTGGACCACCTTGATTTTTCTACAGTTTAACACTCAGGTTTCTGCTTGAATGGGAGTTAGGTGGTAATGCTGATGTCAGACAGGTGACATGTGGATGCTGGCTGAGGTATACCAGGATGCTGGCTGAGGTATACCAGGATCAGTAACTCTACCTCCCTTCCCCAGGCCTTAATCATCCCAAGACCAGAAGCACAGCCGTGCTTGTTTGCATCTAGACAAGGTCTTGTTATGTAGCCCAGGCTGGCCTCATTTCATGATCTTCCTACCTCAGCCACTTGAGTGCTGGAATTACAGATGTGTATTGCCATACCTGGCTATATGTGACCTAGTAGTTTCATGTTTCTAGTTGTGAGGTCTAATTAGACTGCCCACTTATATTTGGCTATCATCTTAGGCTAAGGACTGTGTCCTGGAAGAATATTCTGGTTTGACTAGGTATCAGTCCTGTTTTATAGGTGAAGAACTAGCCTCAGAGTAGGTAAGTGATTTGTCAATTAGTAAGGCTATTTAGATTATAAATCAAGTAATGCTGATTAGAGACTCACCATCTGAGAAGCCTATTTTTTTTTTTTTTGGTCATTTTTCTAGAAAAAGGAGAAAACAATTTTAATGATTCTTACCTGGTAGTGCAAAAATAATTTTTCTTACACCATCAATATCCAAAGTTGCAAATGTTGTTGGCAAGCTGAAAACAAAGAAGAGTGTACGTGTTTGTGATTGCTATGTAACCGAAGAGGTAAATCTAGTGCTCTCATTTTCTTGTTGAGTGATTCACTTACCACATAAAACTCTTTTCTTGATTTGCCTCTAAACCTTCTTACTCTGAAATCAACTGCTTTAGTATCATCTGTTTTCAAGCATCCAAACTTTCCAATTTTCTGTACCTTACATTTCTTTCTTTTTCTCAGTGCCATAGGAACATATTTCACATTCTGATGTTTTTAAATGTCCACACCCCTCTACTCAATGATGTTTCTAGTGTTTTTGTTGGAAATTTAAAAGTCCTCTTATCAGAAGACTGACTGATGAAGTATTTCTAAGTATCTTTGTTCAAGATGAATATCTCTAACATGAATTATTTTTTAAAGATCTACTATTTTATTTTTTTTGTGTGTTCTTGTGTTTTGCTTACGTATGTAGGCACACAATATGCATACAGTGACTGAGGAGGCACTAGATCCTCTGGAACTGAAATTATGTACGGCTGGGAGCCACCATGTGGGTGCTGGCAACATAACCTGTGTCCCCGTGCTTTAAACAACAGAGGCATCTCTACAGCCCCTCTTATCTTAAAAATGACACTCAGCAATAGACATTTTAAAAAATGCCCTATTTATCAAAGATGCTTTTGAATTATAAATAAACAAAATTCTATGGATAGAACAAAGCTAAAGCAACCTTTCTCAAGATTCTGACATCAACTTTCATGGAAGATTTGAGAGGGGTGCATGGTATGAAGTAGGCAGTTGAGAATAGTGTCTCTCCCTGCCCCCCACAGTCACATAAAATTTTGGCTATGAAATTTGTATATTAATCAAACCTGAGAACACTAAAACTTTCCAAGAGTAAATAATGATGGCTTTTTTTTTTTTACTGCCAATTTTATAGGTTGACCTTTAATTATTTTTTGTTTTTTCACTTATTTACTGTGGGAGTGTGTGTCACAACTCATGTTTGGAGGTCAGAGGACCGCTTATGGGAGTGCGTTCTCTCCCTCACCCACATGGGTCATGGGGATCAAATTTAGGGTTGGGAGCAAGTGCCTTTACCTGCTGACTCACCTCACTAATTTCTTGGCTTGATCTTTAAAAACAATCATTCAGCCAGGCACTGGTGGTGCACTCCTTAAAGCCCAGTACTCAGGAGGCAGAGGCAGGTGGAACTCTGAGTTTGAGGCCAGCCTGGTCTACAGAGCAAGTTCCAGGACAGCCAGTCTGTTACACAGAGAAACCCTGTCTCAAAAGACCAAAAAACAAGAAACAACAACAACAACAAAAAAAACCAAAAAAAAAAAAGAAAAAAGAAAAGAAAAAAACCCAAACAAAAACCAAAAAAAAAACCCAAACCAAAACACAAACAAAACTATCAAAACAAACAAAAAACACAAAACAAAAACAAAAAACAAAACAAATCCCTGCTCATTTACTCACTACTGTTTACTATGATATAGTAACAGTAGCATTCTGGATGACTTATAGCTATATTAATCTGTTATAATACAGTGATGCCATATTTGGGTCATAAGGACACTGGGTTGTTTTATAAAGTCTAATTTCAAGTTGCTATGTTCTCATGCTTCTCACCTCTGATCTTCCATACTTGTAGAGTTCTATCATCAATAATGACAGTATCATTTATTATTATTTAAGGGTAATATATATGTATCACACTCATTATTTCATTTAAGTCTCATAGCAATAGCAATAGATGACATTTGCCATTGTATCTAGTAGATAAGAAAACTGAAACTAAGAGATATTAAAAATTTGGCTCAATCTTACATAGCTACTAAGATTCTGTAAAAATAAAGATTTTTTTTGAACCAAGATCATTTTAACTTAAAGGTTCATGTTGGAAAAAGTCAGCATGGGATAATCTATAATAGAGTTAGTACTTAGACTTTGGGACCTCTTTTTTTTTCCTGATTCTTTGCTGTGTCCTAGAACAAGATTAGGTAGGCATGGTTTTTACTGTTTGACAATAACCATGGCAGATCTGAATAATGTTTGACTAAGTATTTTTTCCTTTGTATTTTTTTTAAAGATTTATTTATTATGTATACATTGTTCCTCCTGCATGTATCCCTGCAGGCAAGAAGTGGGCACCAGATCTCATTGTAGATGGTTGTGAGCCACCATGTGGGTTCTGGGAATTGAACTCAGGACCTCTGGAAGAGCAACCAGTGCTCTTAAACTCTGAGCCATCTCTCCTGCCCCTCCTTTGTATTTTTAAGATATCCCTCCTCCGTGTGTGTGTGTGTGTGTGTGTGTGTGTGTGTGTGTGTGTATGTGGAGGCCAGAGGTTGGCAGTAACTGTCTTCTTCTAAGCTCTCCATCTAGTTTTTGAGGAAGTAGCTGACTAATTGGCATCCTTCTGTCTCTACTTCCCGCCAACATTTGGTGTGTTGCTAGGGATCTCAGGTCAGGTCGTCATGCCCTGTGGCAAGCACTTTATTGACTGAGCAGCTCCTCAGTTGCCTAAGTATACTCTTCTTTAAAATCAAAGACATAATTGTATTTGGAATGTACTATATGTGGAAAAGGCAAAGGTAACTTATTTGATTTTGTGTTTCTTTTTGTTCATCAAGAAGTAGAACAAATTACCTAGAAGTTCTTTTTACATTTAGTTAAGTATAAGAATTTGGCCAGTTAAAGGAAGATCACTTAAATTTCCAAGCCACTCTGTTGTAGCAAAGTAGCTCATGGATAATTGTATTTAAAGCCAAAATCAAGTATAAGGGCCCTTTAAATTTTCTTTTACACCCTAAGAGGTAATTTCTCCAAAGGAACTCACTTAAAAAAGATCGTATTTAAGCCAGGCGGTGGTGGTGCATGCCTTTAATCCCAGCACTCAGGAAGCAGAGGCAGGTGGATCTCTGTGAGTTTGAGGCCAGCCTGGTCTCCAGAGAGAGTACCAGGACAGGCTTCCAAACAATATAGAGAAACCCTGTCTCAGAATAACCAAAAAAAAAAAAAAAATCGTATTTACAACAGAACATTTTACTCTTAGGCTTTACTATCACAAGGATCTTGTTGTTGGCAGTGTGTTAGCTCTGGAAAGCCATTTTCTTGGAATCCAACACATACTGATTATTCTGAAATCAGAATTAACAGAATTTATATATTGACTGAGGACTTTACAGGGAGAAGAAGAAACATGAGGAACTGAAGCACTCCTAAAGTTGAGAGTTGTAAACACAGAACTAAAGAGTATAAAAATCACCACCACAAGCTGTGTTTAACACCACAGATAACACACAAATATATGTCTGTGCACCATGTGCCTGCCTTGTGTCTGTAGAGGCCAGAAGAAGGTGTTGGGTTCTCCTAGAGCCAGAGTTAGATGCTTGTGAACTGCCATGTAGGTGTTGGGAACCTGCATGAACAGTGTGTGCCCTTAACGGCTGAGGCATTCTTCTAGCCCCTTCAGGGCTTAATCTTAGCTTTGTACTAAATGAGGCTAAACTATGAAGGCAAAGCCTAATCCTTGTCTTAGAACTGAAACCAATACTGAAAAAACCTTGGGGATGTCAGAAGAGCAGGCTGATATTTGGGGAACTGGTTCAAAAATGTGCTTTATTTCCCACAGCTTACAACAATGTTAAGCTCCTATGCCACTCTTTCTTGTGATTCATACAAGTCCCTATCAGAATATAATCTTGAACTAAAGCATTGTTACTGTTTTCTGTGACATCTTGGACATGTGCCATAACACTCTTCTATACACTGAGGTATGAACAGGTATTCAGACGTACTGAGTGTAAGGGATGTAAGAGGACAGCTGTCCTGCTTGAAGACCAAATGTGTTTTATTAACACTACTATTGGACATTCTTTGAAGATTTACAGTCGTCTAGGACCTTCTCCCACCAGTCCCTTCTTGAGGGTTATTAGTGTTTAGGAAATGTGAAAATCTTCCTGTATGGTTATTTTACTTTCTTCTTGGAAAGGATGGGAGTTACTGTTAAATACCATTATGAAGTAATTATGTAAAGCAATTGAGTCTGGACATAGGTCTCTACAGGTAGCAGATAGAAAAACATGTTTAGTAATAACCCAAGGAAGAATCGTTCTATCTACTAGACAAGGAAAAGTAACGTAGTTTCTCCAACAAGTCAATGGCAGAAATCAAAACCAAAACCAAAACCCACCAAGGCCGGGCATTGGTGGAGCACGCCTTTAATCCCAGCACTGGGGAGGCAGAAGCAGGTGGATCTCTGTGAGTTAGAGGCCAGCCTGGTCTACAGAGGGAGTTCCAGGACAGCCTCCAAAGCCACAGAGAAACCCCGTCTCAAAAAAAGAAAAAACAAACCAAAAAACCCACAACAATAACAACAACAACGAAAAACCAACCAAATCACTCCCCATCCCACAAATCTAAAAACAAAAAGTTTAGAGATTTAATAACTAAGTGTGAAATGAGTGTACTTTAATCCTAAATTAGAACATTTATTAAAAAGCATTCTTTCTCTTGACATTTGGGAGACTTTGGTATTGATTAGGATATTAGGTAATATGAAAAATTATTTTTGTTAGATATGACAATATTGTTGTATTTATATAGGTCAATGTTCTTGTTCTTCTGATTTAAGAAAATGACATGATGTCTAGAATTAGCTTTAAAACAATCTGGCTCCGCCAGGCAGTGGTAGCGCACACCTTTAATCCCAGCACTCGGGAGGCAGAGTCAGGTGGATCTCTGTAGTTCGAGACCAGCCTGGTCTACAAGAGCTAGTTCCAGGACAGCCTCCAAAGCCACAGAGAAACCCTGTCTCAGAAAACCAAAAAATAAAAAAATGAAAAAATAATTTTTTTTTTTTAAAAAGGGCATTGGTGGCGCATGCCTTTAATCCCAGCACTTGGGAGGCAGAGTCAGGTGGATCTCTGTGAGTTAGAGGCCAGCCTGGTCTCCAGAGAGAGTGCCAGGTTAGCTTCCAAAGCTACACAGAGAAACCCTGTCTCGAAAACAAACAAGCAAACAAAAACAAAACAAAAAACAAAACAAAACAAAACAAAAACCCCAATCTGGCTCCACCCCGCCCCCCCCAAGAGGTTGGGGAATTGACAAAGCAGATAGATATAAATGCATGCTGGTAGTTACTGACTTCAGTAATGGACATGTGTATGGGTTCATTGTTTTCTACTTCCATGTATATTTGAGAAATTTCATGCTAAACTATTTTTACAAACAGTGAAGGTGTAGGGAGAGAGAGAAAAGAACTAGACATGGTAATTAAAAAGGAAACAAAGTTAGAAAATTGCTTTGCTTTGTTTATAACAAACTCATTGATTCATAAGATGAAATCTTATTTCATAACATATAATAAGTATTCTAGTACTAAAATATTTTCTTTATTAAAATGAGTAACCCATACTAAAAAGTATAAAAGCAAAGCATTTAAAACTTGACTAGTTAAAGCAACCCAAATAACCTAATATATTAGATAAAATTATTTTCATACCCTGGCTTCATAAAAACCCTGCCAAAATGGATCTGAGCATGAAGATCAATGTCCAGCACCTGCTTGAGATAGTCCTGCAAATATTAAAAACAGTCACTTTATTTTCAAGCATTTTAGTATCAGACTTAACACATTAATGAAAATAAAATTGATTTATAGTTGAAAAGAACATCTTTGCTATTTTAATGAAGTTGATATGCTTAATTCAACTAACATTCCTTATTCATTCATTTACTCATTTACTAATTATTTTTTGTGTGCTCTATGTATGCATAGTATCAGTTGAGGCTCAAGGGGATATAACCCAAATAAAAGAGACACTTTCCCTGCCTTGTTAGAAGGTACATTGTAGAGCCAGAGGTGGTGCCATAATACCTATAATCCCAGCATTTGAGAGAAGGAGGAAGCAGGAAGGAGGATTAAGGCCAGCCTGGGCTAGGTAGCAACATGGTCTTAAACACACACACACACACACACACACACACACACACACACACACACACACACACACACACACACACACACACACACACTTATAATCTAGTAGAGGAAGCAAGATAATGTAATAACTAGAATAACCATAGTAATGTTTTTATAGTAATGTTTTTACTTGATAGGATTTTGTCTCTGAGATAAAATTTTATGATCAAGAAAGACCATTAATAAGGATGTTTTAATTAGTTATGTTTGGTGTGGCAAGAAGATATGCCCATGGTTATAACAGTGGTACAAATGTTACGGGGTAACCAATTGCTTTCTGATTAGATTTAAGTCATGTTTCATTGGAGGAAACAAATTTTTGGCACTATAAATCTGGCTAACAACCCATGGTTGGGGAACTTACAGGCCCCAAGGTGAACCTACTATTATCTTTCTGCTAAATGAACATAGTATAAAACTGTCCTCTAACTCCACATTACCCACAGATTGGTGCAACCACCAGGCCTCATTAGAGGAGTTTCTTTGTGCATTGAACAGTAGTTAACACAGACACTTGAAACTGGTCAGGGTGCGCTGCAACAGATGGATCATCTGTGTCATACCCACTTCATAAGGCACAGGGACCACTGCACAAGTGGGGGTAGAAAGCTGGTGAAGAGCCAGACATCAGGAAGGACAGTGCCATACAGTGCCTTCTGTACATGACAGGACGGATGCGCTCATGAACTCACAGGTGTTGTGGTAGCCTGCATAAGACCTGAACTCTTAAGATCAAGCCAATCAACAGTATATCACAGAGTGGGGGGTGGATTCATGAGCTCACCTGTAACTGAGAAACTATGGACAACTGATGGTTTCTTGGGGAAGTTGAGTCACCTCCTGGTAGGTCGACTACACTCCCCGAAAGAGTGAGATCCTTTGAGACATGTCAGACCGACTCATCTTCTTTCTGTCTTCCTTCCGTCCATTCTTTTTTTTTTTTTTTTTTTTTAAGGGGGGGGTGTAAAGGGGGGATGTGTGTGTCTACAGACGGGTTTCTCTGTGTAGCCCTGGATATCATAAAACTTGTTCTGAAGACCAGGCTGGCCTCCAACTCACAGAGATCAGCCTGCTCTGCCTCCTGAGTGCTGGGATTAAAGATGTGAGCCACCACCACCCAGTTCTAGCTTACTTTCTGAAACTTCAGCATATTTTTGGTTTTTAGGAGAAAGCCTTGATTTTTATTAGTAAACATCATATCTAAGAGTCCTGCATCTTCTAGCACTCTCTTACAGTCCTTTGTCTCCTCAGTCAGTCTTCATACCTACATGGTAAACACTGACTGATGAGTCATCTCTTTCCCTTACCTTAATTTTCAAAGGGATATTTTTCTGGATTTAAGTTCTCTACTGACAGTACATTTTTTTGAACTTGGGAAATGCTATGCAAGTTACTGTTTTCTGGGTTCTATCATTTATGTTTACTTTTGATTAGTAGAGCTCCTGTCTTTTTTTTTTTAACTAATTTTGAAATATCTTTGACAGGGCTAGGGAGATGGTTCAGGCAGTGAATTAATTGGCAGCTATTGGAGCTTGAGGAACTGAGTTTGTATTCCCAGAACCCACCTAGAAAGCCATGCTTAGTGACACATGCTTCTAATTCTAGCTCTGGTGAGGCAGAGACAGGTAGATCCTTGGAGCTGCTGGCCAGTCAACCTAGTTAAACTGGTAAGCTCCAGGTTCAGTGAGATACCTTACCTAAAAACAAACAAACAAAAGAGATAGAGTGCAAGTGTGCACACACTCAAACACATACACACTTCTGCATTCTCTAAAATACAATTTATGCTCATTTTGTCTTAACTTTATTTATAAATGCTGACTCTTTACCATATGTATTTCACCCTGTTCCATATTTTCTATTGTTTTCTTAAACTGTTTTATGGATTACAATTTCTAAAGTTATCATTTTTGTTATTTTTTCTTTAATATGTAACAGCTTTTTAAAGATCCACGTGAGACAATATAAATGTCAGCATCACTTCAATGGCTCCTTTATAAAACTTTCTTCTCTCAACTTTAAGACATTTTGCCAGAAATCTCTGGATAATGATATATTCCTCCAGAAAAGATTTGTTTTCTTTTAGCAACCAGTTGAGGTAAATTCAATTATCCTACTAATCTAGGGGCTGAAATAGTTTTATATTGGGTTTCAGTTTCTCTAAAGGCTGATTCTTTGTTCTTGTTTTTAGAGCACTGCCTTCAAGGTTTTAAAATAAAGCCTGAGATACTTTCCAGATACCCTCTTCCAGGGAAAACCTGGAATGCTTTTCTTTCTTTCTTTCTTTCTTTCTTTCTTTCTTTCTTTCTTTCTTTCTTTCTTTCTTCCTCTCTTTCTTTCCTTCCTTCCTTCCTTCCTTCCTTCCTTCCTTCCTTCCTTCCTTTTTCTTCTTTATTTTGAGACACAACATCCCTCTGTCCCTCACTCCCTTCCTTCCTTTTTTTAAGATAGGATCTCACCATGTAAGCCTGGCTGTTTTGGAACTTGCTGTACAAACCAGGCTCACCCGAAATTTGGAGATACACCTCCTCTGCTACCCAAGTGCTGGGTTAAAGCTGTGCATTGCCATGGCCAACTAAACATTGGCTTCTTAAGAATTATGGAAAACTTGCTTGCTAAATTAGCTTCTCGGTTACTCTTTTATGCTTGGTTTCTGGTCTTTTGTGCCACACCTCCTGTTCCAACACCTTGGGTGATTTGTGTTTTGTTTTGCTTTTTTTTTTTTTTTTTTTTTTTTTTGAGACAAGGTCCTGTTTGTTATCTATTTATATAGTCCAGTTTGGCTTTGAATTCAAGATCCTGTCTCAGCCTCCCCAGTGGTGGAATCACAGGCAGCTGCTACTATATTCAGCTTCAGCAAATGTTCCCAAATGCTTAGTAAGTATCAAGAATTCTGTGTGCTGAGGATATAATGGCCAGACATGGCCTTGAAACAAGGAAACCATATGACATATTTTTACTAGATGAAAACAATCCTTTGCAAACAGATTAACAAAATAAATGCCATTTGTGGTACATGCTACAATGGAACAACCAGGTACTGTGAGAGACTAGGAAGGTGGGCTAGAGAATTAGGAAAGGCCATTGTAGAAGGGGTGGTGATGTACTAACTTAAGATCTGCACAACAAGAGGGATTCAGGCATGCAAAATATTGAGGAAGGAGAGTGAATTAGGTCATTTTGAAAGTAATTTTTCAGGGTTACTAAATAAGCTGAATTCTTCAACAGTTAGTAAGTTAACTAGTAAATAATTGTCAGATACTTAGATAATTGCTATGTAAGATGTAATACTAAATCACTGATTGCTAACTATAGTTTTAAGTTTACAATTTTTTAAATTTTTTTAAAACTTTTTTTAAGACTTTATTTATTTATTATGTATACAACATTCTGCTTCCATGTGTATCTGCACACCAGAAGAGGGTACCAGATCTCATAACGGATGGTTGTGAGCCACCATGTGGTTGCTGGGAATTGAACTCAGGACCTCTGGAAGAGCAGCTGGTGCTCTTAACCTCTGAGCCATCTCTCCAGCCCAGTTAACAAATTTTTAAGAATGTAATTTGCTTATTTTTATATGCTATGGAGAAGTCAAAACTTGACAAGTGAGTTTCATTTACCTTTTTTCATAAAAACCATGCCCAAAGAAAGCCTTACATATAATATCATTTCAGAGTAGAGGGTTGGAAAAAGATTTTCCAATCAAATGGACCAAAGAAGCAAGCTGATACAGCTATCCTAATATATAACAAAATAGACTTTAAACCAAAATTAATCAAAAGAGGTGAAGGATACTTCATACTCATCAAAGGAAAAACCCAACCAAGATGATATCTCAGTTCTGAACATCTATGTCCCAAATACAAGGTCACCCACATTTGTAAAAGAAACATTACAAAACTTAAATCACACATTGAACCCCACACATTAATAGTAGGAGACGTCAATACCCCATTCACACCGATGGATGGGTGATCCAGACAGCAACTAAACAGAAATAATGGAACTAACAGATGTTATGACTTAAATTGACATAACAGGACCTAACTCAAATGGATCTACAGAGTTTTTTACCCAAATACCAAAGAATATAACTTCTCAGCACCTTGTGGAACCTTCTTCAAAACTGACCACCTACTTGGTCATAAAACAAGTCTTTACAGATTAAAAAAAAATGGATAACTCTGTATTTTATCAGAATGCCATAGATAAAAGTTGGAGTTCAACAACAAAACAAAATAAAAAAAGCCTACAAACTAATGGAAACTGAACAACTCTCAACTGAATCACCACTGGGTCAAGGAAGAAATAAAGAAATTAAAGACTTCCTAGAATTCATTGAAAATGAATGCACAACATACCCAAACTTATGGGACACAATGAAAGTGGTACCAAGAGGAAAGTTCATAGCACTAAGTGCCTATATAAAGAATTTGGAGAAATTTCACACAAATAACAGTACACCTGAAAACCCTAGAACAAAAAGAAGCAAATTCAAACTAAAAGAACAGACAGTATGAAATAATCAAACTGAGGGCTGAAATCAATAAAATAGAAAAAAAAAGGCACAATACAAAGAATCAATGAAACAAAGAGTTGGCTCTTTGAAAAAAATAAATAAAATGGACAAACCCTTACCCAAACTAACTAAAAGGCACAGAGAGAATATTCAAAGTAACAAAATCAGAAACAAAAAAGGGGACATAACAACAAACACTGAGGAAATGCAGACAATCATTAGGTCACACTTCAAAAACCTGTACTCCACAAAATTGGAAAATCTAAAAGAAATGTAAACATTTCTTGATACCACAGACCAAAATTAAATCAAGATCAGATAAATAATTTAAACAGACCTATAACCCCTAAGGAAATAGAAGCAATCATTAAAAGTCTCCCAACCAAGAAAATCTCAGGGTCAGATAATTTCAGTGAAGAATTCTACCAGACTTTCAAAGAAGAGCTAATACCAGTTATTCCCCAAATTATTCCATGAAATAGAAACAGAAGGAACATTGCCAAATCCTTTTTATGAAGCCACAGTTTCCCTGATAACCAAACCTCATAAAGTCTCAACAAAGAAAGAATTATAAATCAATTTCCCTCATGAACATTGATGCAAAAATACTCAACCACCATGATCAAGTGGGCTTTATCCCAGAGCCCAGAGATGGTTCAATATATGAAAATCTGTCAATGTAATCTGCCAAATAAACAAACTGAAAGAAAAAAGAAAGCACATCTCAAAAAAAAAAAAAAAAAGCACATCTCATTACATGCTGAAAAAGCTTTTGACAAAATCCAAAACACGTTCATGATAAGTGTTGGAGAGATCATGGATACAAGGAACATACCTAAATATAATAAAAGCAATATACAGCAAGCTGATAGCCAACATCAAATTAAATGGAGAGAAACTCAAAGCAATTCCACTAAAACAAGACAAGGCTGTCCACTCACTCTGTATCTATTCATTATAGTACTCAAAGTTCTAGCTAGAGCAATAGACAACAAAAGGAGATCCAGGGGATAAAAATTAGAAAGGAAGAAGTCAAACTCTTGGTATTTGCAGATGATATGATAGTATAGGTAAGAGACTTCAAAAATTTTTACCAGGGAAACCCTACAGCTGATAAACACCTTTAGCAAAGTGGCTTGGCGTAAGACTAACATCAAAACAACAACAAAACCAACCATTAGCTCTCTTATATATAAATGATAAATAGGCTGAGAAAGAAATCATGGAAACAACACTCTTATGATAGCCACAAACATTATAAAATATCTTGGGGTAACTCTAACCAAACAAGTGAAAAACTTGTATGACAAGAACTTGAAGTCTTTGAAGAAAGAAACTGGAGAAATTATCAGAAGATGGAAAGATCTCCCATGCTCTTGGGTAGGTAGGATTAACATAGTAAAAATGGCCATCTTACCAAAAACAATCTACAGATTCAGTGCAATACCCATCAAAATCAAAGAAAAATTCTTTACAAACCTTGAAAGGATAATACTCAACTTCATATGGGAAAACAAAATAAAACAGGCTAGCCAAAACAATCTTGTACAATAAATGAACTTCCAGAGGCATCCCCATACCTAACTTCCAACTCTACTATAGAGTTCCAGTAATGAGAACAGCTTGGCATAATAACAGACAGGTGGACCAATTTTTATCAAATCAAAGACCCTGATATTAACCCACACACCTATGAACACCTGATTTTTGACAAAGAAGCTAAAATTATAAAATGGAAAAAAGAAAGCATCTTCAACAAATGGTGCTGGCATAACTAGATGTCGACATGTAGACGAATCCAAATAGACCCATATCTATCACCATGCACAAAACTCAAGTCCAAATGAATCAGAGACCTCAACATAAAACCAACTACACTGAACCTCACAGAAGAGCAAGTGGAAAGTAACCTTAAATGCATTGGCATAGGAGACCACTTCTTGAATATAATACCAGTTGGACAGACACTGAGAGCAACAATTAATAAATGGGACCTCCTGAAACTGAAAAGCTTCTGTAAAGCAAAGGACCTGATCAACAAGACAAAATGTCAGCTAAAGAATGGCAAAAGATCTTTACCAACCCCACACATGACAGAGGACTGATTTCCAAAATACACAAAGAACTCAAGAAACTAGACATCAAAAGACCAAATAGTCCAAATGAATTCGAGATCAGCCTAGTCTACAAGAGCTAGTTCCAGGACAGCCTCCAAAGCCAAAGAGAAATCCTGTCTTGAACACACGTACACACACACACACACACACACACACACACACACACACACGGGTAAAGACCTAAACAGAAAACTCTCAAATGGCCAAAAGACACGTAAGGACTTAAGGAAATGCTCAACATCCTTAGCCATCAGAGACATGCAAATCAAAAACAAACAACTCTGACATACCATCTGACACCTGTCAGAATGGCTAAGATCAAAAACTCTAATGACAGCTTATGCTGGAGAGGATGTGGAGTAAGGGGAACACTTCTTCATTGCTGGTGGGAGTGTAAACTTGTACAGCCATTTTTGAAATCAGCGTGGTGTTTTCTCTGAAAATTGGGAATCAATCTACATCAAGACCCAGCAATACTACTATTGGGCATATACCCAAAGGATGCATACTCACACCACAAGGACCTTTGCTCAACTATGTTCATAGCAGCATTATTTGTAATAGCCAGAACCTGGAAACAACCTAGATGCCCCTCAACTGAAGAATGGATAAGGAAAATGTGGCACATTTACACAATGGAGTACTACTCAGTGGTAAAAAAACAGTGACATCTTGAAATTTGCAAGCAAATGGATATAATTAGAAAAAGCCAAAAGCCATTAGACATAAGGCAAAGGACAACTAGCCTACAGGCCACAACCCCAGAGAACAAAGAGGACCCAAAGAGAGACATACATGGATCTGCCTAGGAAGGGGAAAAAGACAAAACCTCCTGAGTAAATTGGGAGCGTGGGGGACAGGGAGAAAGATAGAAGGGGAGAGGGAAGGAGGGAAGGGGAGTGGGGAAAAAATGTATAGTTCAATAAAAAAAAATTACAAAAAAACCCCCCATACCAAATTAAACCAAACCAAAAGATTAACTCAAAAAAATCAGTAGCCTTCTTATATACAAATGATAAATAAGCTGAGAAAGAAATCAGGGAATCAATACTTTTATGATAGCCCACAAACAATATAAAATATCTTGGGATAACTCTAACCAAGCAAGTGAAAGACCTATATGACAAGAATTTGAAGTCTCTGAAGAAAGAAGCTGGAGAAGAAATCAGAAGATGGAAAGATCTTCCATGCTCATGGATAGGTAGGATTAACATAGTAAAAACGGCCATCTTACTGAAAGCAATCTACAGATCAATACAATCCCCATCAAAATTCCAACACAATTCTTTATAGACTTTTAAAGAATAATATTCAACTTCATATGGGAAAAACAAAAAATCCAGGATAGCTAAAACACTCCTGTACAATAAAAGGACTACTGGAGGTATCACTATCTCTGATCTCAAGATCTACTACAGAGCTATAGTAATAAGTCATAGGGGTCAGGGACATTTCAGGAAAACCCACAGAAACTCCTAGCCTGGCTAGGAACTCAGAGTCTGAACCAACAACCAGGGGGCCTGCATGGCCATCTACATTTATGTGACAGTTGTATAGCTTGGTCTATGTTTGGGATGCCTGGCAATCGAAACAGGGAATGTCTTTAATGCTTTGGCTGGCTCTTAGGAACCTATTCCTAAGATAGATTGACTTGCCCAGCCTGAATACAGAGGCAAGTGCTTGGTCTTATGGCAGCTTCATATGTCATCCTTTGCTGATACCCATGGGAGACCTGCCCCGTTCTGAGCAAATACAGAGGAAGAGGGGTGAACTGGGGGCAGGTGGGATTAAGGGAGGTAGGGGAAAGGAGTGGGAGGAGAGGCTTTGGTTGGGATATAAGATAAATTAATAAAAATAAAAGAAAATATGGTTGGTGAGATGGTTTCATCTGGGAGGTCATATTCAAACTGAAGAAAGATGGATCTTTATCTTGGGCATAAATGTAACATATAAAGGAAGTCCTAATGTTGTAAAAGTCAGTGAAAAACAAATGTCTTCAAGGAAAGAGAAAAAAAGCAGTCTACTATTTGGGGGCTTTTCCAGGCTACTCCTGATGTAAGCACCCTGACTGAGCTTTTTTTTTTTTAAAACCCAGCACTTTCTAAAGACTTCATGCTTTCAGCTTTGAGGGGTTCTGAATATGAATGCTAGATGCTTCCCTATTCTAGTTAGCATTAACTGTCACCTTGACACAGCCTCAAATCACCTGGAAAATGAGACTCAGCTGTCTTTCTCAGGTTGATCTGTGAGCATTTCTGTGAGGGACTGTCTTAATTATTAATTGATGTAGGAGGGCCCACCCACAAGGTGGTACTATTCTCTGGATAGGTGATCCTGGGTCTGCAAGCAAGCCAGCAAGCAGCATTCCTTCATGGTTTCTGCTTCAAACTCCTACTTGAGTTCCTGACCCCACTTCCTTGAATGATGGACCCAGAAGTGTAAGCCATTAAATTATTTCTTTCTCTATGTTGCTTTGGGTCAGAGTGTTCTATGACAGTAGCAGAAATCAAATCAAAACACCAAAGCATAGTAGTGGACCACAGTGAAAACATTAAAGTGACCAAATCTCATGAGCCATACCTTTTCCCCCATCGATACCCCTCCTGAGGTGATGATGACATCAGCACGGCTGATACCCTCATTCAAGGCATTGAGTAAGTCATCTGGGCTGTGAAAATAAAGACACATATGTTAACATAAAAAGGAAATAAGCAGCATTAACTGAAACCTAAATGGTGTATAAATCCGAGTTACATTAGTGTGAGTACAATAATGTGCTGTGTGTTAAGTGGGAATCAAATGGGCCTCTAAAATTAGGAGTGTATTACCGTGGAAAAAGGACCTTTGTAAGATGCTGAAGTAGTGGCTACTGGTGCTTAACAGGGCTCATTGTTCAAACAATGCAGTTTAGTGAAGAGTTAATTTCAAAATTCTATAAGATAGGCAGAATAGGAGGGAGTACTGAGGTTGACAGGCATACTGAGATATTCAAGGTTACCATTTTTGAGCTATTTTTCTAAGCGACCATAATATTTATATTGTGAAAGACACATTGTTTGCTGCCATTATTTAAATATATAAATCTTATTTGGATATGCCAAATATTGAACGGTCAAGTGTGATGCCTTATGCCTGTAATCCCAGCACATGGGAGGGAGGCTGAAGCAGGAGGATTGTGTCAAGTTCTAGGCTACTCTGAGATAGAGTGAAGTCCTGTTTCATCTTCCACCCCATTCTCCAAATGCAGATGAAAGGAAAAAATTATATTTAAAGCATGTGAAATATTTTCTCACCATTGTCACTATAGTGACTGTTTATTAAGAAGATTAATTTTCCAATTTCCCGTTGCTTAAACAGACACTTTTTTTTTTTTTTTTCAAGACAGGATTTCTCTGTGTGCACTGGCTGTCCTGGAACTTGCTCTGTAGACCAGGCTCACCTCAAAATCAGAGATCCACCTGCTTCTGCCTCCCAAGTGCTGGGATTAAAGGTGTGCACCACCACTGCCTGGTCCCAGACACATATTTTAAAAGGGCTATCTTCCTTCCTGAACAACTGTATTTTCAATTCAATTTGTATGATAATTACTTACCCTTTAAGGATAATCCTAAATACTCATTTTGATTTGCTCACTTTCTACCCGTTTTCTCTCAAATTATTGAGTACCTATCCACTGTTCTTTTAGACCATTAATGTTACATGAAAACATTACAAAAAGAGTTACATTGTACCAGGTGACCGAAATTAGAGCCATTAACTGAAAGCCTATTATCTTGAAGTCTAGAACCCAGTTTTAGATAAAAATTCATTACATTAAATGAACCTAAAAAAACACAAAACAAAACTTGTGTATGTGTGTGTGTGGGCATGTTCCACATTCTATCTGTAAAATGAGGACAATGACCTTAATTCTTTCCATCATTCAGATTCATTCACACTGCTTCTAAGTACTTGAGGCTAGCTAGGATCCAGTTCAGGTGTAAAATATACCACTCTTTTTTTTTTCCCTTTATTTTCCTTTATTTTATTTTATTAGTTCTAGTTAGGGACAAGCTTATTTCAAGTCCCTTCTCCCTCTCCCTCCCCTCACCCCCAGTCTACCCCCACCCCATCCACCCATCACTCCCCAGGCAGGGGAGGG